TGTCAATAGGTACTTCATATTGTCATATGATTCTTTCATGTGAACTGCATACCCTACAAGAAGAGATGGTAAAATATTTCCAATATGCAATAACACTGCCTTTAAACTCAATGTTGAACTGTCTATAAACAATCTCCATTCTTCTGGGTTATAGTTTATATTTAAAGCCGCCAGTAAGCCGTTAATGTTACTGCAGAAAACCAAGTTATTCTCCATATTGAAAAATGGTTCTAAGTCTTTGTGGCGTTTACGAAAAACACATACCGAAACATCGTCTTCTAACAAGTTCTACTGCTGCAGTCTTGATCCAAGTAACTCTGCCTTACATTTTGGAAGTTCTAAATCTCTTACAAGATCATTTAATTCTGACTGTGTTATTTTGTGCGGTTGGTGGCATGATTTTCGTCACTGTGAGGCACAGGTCTCATCGCAGATGGTATGTTTGGGTAGTTAATAACCGATTTTTTTTCCTAGACATACCTGTGGCTTGTCCAACACAAGGTACCATGCAAAAGTAACAATCATTAATATGATTTGTAGGCTCTCTCCAAACCATTGGGACAGCAAAGCGCATAGACCGTTTTTTGCCATTTAACCAGCTCCTCAGACTTGAAACACATGTATTACAGCAGATGTGGGGTGCCCACTGTTTGTCTTGATCACCTAGTTTACAACCGAAATAAAGCTGATATGCCTTTGTTATTAGTGGAGTAATAGACCGTCTCTGAAACGCAAAAACCACAGTATATTAACACTGTCACAGCAGGAACTCATATAATTACCGTATCTCTAAAACTTGAACTAATATTGAAAAAATAAGTTTCATTCCGGTTTTAGCACATTAAAAATAGTAATATTTTGTTGATTTTATTTAGGATATTTTTTGGCTGTTGATCAGTGTAATCAACGAAAGATTTTATTTTGCCGATGTTTGCAGTAAATTGTAGGCAGCCCTGACAAAAAGAACAATTTGACAGCTGATGGGTTACGGTTAGTAAAATGAAGCATTTTACGAACATGTTTTCATTATTGAACAATATTTCAAAAAGAATGAAAGTTTAGCGTCCGCAGGTCGATAATTTCAACTACGAAAAGTCTAATTGAATAATTGAGGGAGGCTGAATCAGTTGGACACGCTAAACACACCGGTCGCCCAAAAATAAGCGGTTCAAATGTCCATGCCGAAGCAGTGCGTCAGAGTGTTGGTGAAAACCCAGGAACGTCAATTCGGAGTTGTGAACAAGAATTGCAAACATCAAGAAGGTCTCTACAGCGTACACGCACAAAAGATCTGTGTCTGTATGCTTACAAAATTCAATTAAGACAACAACTGAAGCTTAATGACCATGAAATGCGAAGAGAGTTCGTGGAATGGATTATTAAACATCAAGGGAATGCTGGTTTTTCCTAAGCGATGAAGCACATTTTCACCTTGATGGCTTTGTTAATCACCAAAATTGACATATTTGGGGTTCGAAGAACCCACGTGTTAAAAAACAAATGCACCCATAAAATGTCACTGTTTATGTGGTTTCAATAAGACCAGTTAAACAATTCAATAACTGCATGAGACATGGTCGTGTACTTCCGCGTTTCGGCGATCAGAATGGCCCCCTAGATCGTGTGATTTAATACCATTAAATTTCTTTTTAGGAGGTTATTTAAAGTCAAAGGTCTATGTCAACAAGCCCACAACCAGCCGTGCATTCAAGAGAAAATTAAACGGTGCATCAACGAAATTCAGTCACCTTTACGCAGAAAGGTCATGAAAAACTATTCCATACATAACCCTATCCTATATATACTAAGTGACATATAAATCCGAACACCCAGTTTAAATGGTTTTATTTTAATAAAAGTTGGTGAATGTATTTATCTTACTGTAAATAACAAGTGAAAAAATTTTCAGCCTTATCATTTGGTCATTCCGGTTTTTATACTGCTTTGTTTTAATTCACTAACGTTCTAAAAATGAATATTTCAGCCGCAGTAAAGAATCAACGTTGGCGGATTTTGGTTCTTGACATCCTTTACGATCGGTTACGATGCCTAGAGTACGGAGACCTGTACGATTTCGTCAACTTAGTGAGTTTGATAGGGGCCGTATAGTGGGACTTCGGGAAGCTGGACTTTCTTTTCGGGCAATTGCAGTTAGAGTGCAAAGAAGTGTAGACACTGCGGTTAAGTGTTGTCAGGCATGGCTTCGAGAGGGCCGTAGGCAAAGAGCAACACGCACTGGACGCCGCCGTAGAACAACAGACCGTGAAGGTCGCCGCCTAAGATTATTGGCCTTAAGGGACCGTTTCTCCACTACCAGGTCCATTGCAAATGAATGGTTTGCAGAACACGGAAGACCTATTGGCATGCGAAGTGTTTACCGACGAATGAGAATTTTTGGCTTGTTTTCATACCGGCCACACTGGGTCCTCCCTTTAAATCGAGAACACCGACGTAATCGCCTTGAGTGGTGCAGACAACGGTCACTCTGGGATCAGGAATGGAACAGTATTGTCTTTAGTGACGAGTCTAGATTTTGTTTAGGCATGCACGATGGTCGTGCCAGGGTTAGAAGGCGACGTGGTGAAAGGAGGAATCCACAGTTTTTTGTTGAAAGACATGTTCATCACACTGTTGGAGTTATGGTTTGGGGTGCTATAGCTATGGTTCCAGGTCACCTTTAATCTTCATCAGAGGTAACATGAACGCGCAGCGTTATATCCACGAAGTTCTGGAACCCCATCTTTTACCCTATCTTGACACCCTGGCAGATCCAACTTTCCAACAAGATAATGCCCGATTACATGTTGCAAGAGTCACAATAGACTTCATTCAACATAATGATGTCACATTGTTACCATGGCCACCAAGATCTCCCGACTTATCCCCAATTGAGCACGTGTGGGATATGATATGTAGGAGATTGCTCAATTTGCAACGTCCTCCTCAGACTCTAGAAGCACTTCGAGAGGAGTTGGTGGTTGCCTGGAATGAGATACCACAGGAGGACATTGACCACCTGATCAGAAGCATGCCTAGGCGCGTTGGAGAATGCGTAGCACATCAGGGCGCATCCACACATTATTAAAGGTCAAAGGGCTTTAAAGCAGTGCAATCATTTTGAAATTTTTATCATTTACTTATTATGCTTCATTAAGTACTTATACAAAATTTTATTAAAATAATACCATTTAAACTGGGTGTTCGGATTTATATGTCACTTAGTATAGTTTAATAAGAACTATCAATCTAGTCAGATCTTTTCTGAAAACAGTAACTTGTGTACAAGGATGTTGAAACCCTATATCTTTCATAATGTCCCACAATTTATGCTCTAACCTTAATTTCTCAAATAAGGAAAGTAATATTGATTCTAACTGAAAAACATAATACAAAATCTTCAGGTGGGGGTTTTAAACCCTAAAGATTCTGTTATCATTTTCGAAAATTTTAAAATGGATCAACAGTTTACGATCCAAACTATCAGCACCTTTAGAGCATTTTACACATATCTCACAAGAATGAATCTGCAAACAATGTCATTTATCATCATCAGCCTCAAAGATTGATGTACGTCCTATCAGAATTCGTTTAATACACTATATAGTCTCCTACTGATTCTACACCCAAAATTCTGCTATCTTCCTCTTCTTCTTCTTCTGAATCTTCATCTTCAGTTTCCAAAAAATCACTATCACTGTCAGTTTGAATTAAATTGATAACGAATTCATCCACAACTCTATCAACCGCGGGCTCGCGTTCTATAAATTCTTTTTCAAGCTTTGTATGCTCGCATCTCGTTTTCCTCTAACCACTCCCAAATGTGTTAAAAAACTCATCGCAGTGTTTTAAAACTGCAGAAAATTCAAAATTGAGATTTCATTGCTGCACATACGAGTTCTATAGGGTTCAAGTCGGGGTGATAGGATGGCAATCTTAATACATCGTGCCCAGCATCACGCAGAATTTTATCCAACTCAAACTTCTTATAAGCAGGCTAAGGGTACGAACATAGTGGAGCGACGAGGTTTCAGATTCAGATAGAGGCTAACCGCGCGGTTTGCCGCTATGTGAGTCAAAAACACAGGTTGAAACCTGTCGGGCCATAGTAGCGCGATAAGGCATGCGTCGAGTCTCTAGGAGGTTTCGAGCGACGAGTTTTAAATAGTTGCATTCAATTTTTGTCACGCGTTTTCAAGCGATTTAATAATGGATGTTGTGCAATTAATAAATAGTGTATATCACAGAAGGGCTATATGGGATCAGAGTCATCCAGATCATCGCAACCGATACGTGCTAGATAAGTTATGGGAGGAGGTAGCCAATGAATGCAATAATCAGTCGGGTAAGTAAATAATTGTATTTTATACACATTTCAACAGCTAGAACTTACATCTTGCGGTAAAATTTTAAGCTGTCTCGTAACTGATTGGAAAGAAATTAACATAGTTACAGAAAATGTCGCGAACTCTTTGACCTTCACCCAGTTGCCTTCCTCTAGGTAATTCAAACATCTGATCTCTAGGAACTGCATCAGTTACTAATGTTAAATGTCGTTGAAATCCCTCTCGGTCCAGTATTGTATTATGCAAAATGCATATCGCCTTAATGATATCATCCGCAGTCTTTTCAGTAGTCTCTATAGCTTTGGACAGAAGACGCCACTTCGCGTACATAATTCCAAAGGTGCACTCGATAGTTTTGCGTGCTCTGGACAATCTTTGGTTAAAATTTATATGTTCCAAAGAGCGGTTCCTTCGATTGTATGGTTTTAGCAAATTGGGCATTAGTGGATACGCTTCATCTGCAATAAATACGTAGGGAGCGCGGACATTTGTTCCTGGTAAACTATCTGGATTTGGCACATTTAGTTTGTTTTGGTGTATCCGTTTGTACAAATTGGAACTCTGAAACGTTCCCCCATCGCTCTGTTTGCCGTAACCTCCGACATCTATCACAAGCAATTTGTAATTTGCGTCGCAAACTCCTTGTAGGACGATAGAAAAATAATGCTTATAATTGAAGTACATGGATCCGGAATGTTGTGGTGCTATAACTTTGACGTGTTTGCCGTCAACAGCTCCGATGCAATTGGGGAAGTTCCATACTTTCATGAAGTCTGCACTTACATTTAAAAATGTTGCCGTAGTAGGTTCTGGCATGTGAAGTGGTTGCAGCATGTTCCATAATATTTTAATCATATGTTTTATAATGCTCGCAACAGTACTCCTGCCCATTCGAAAGGAAAATGCCAAGTGTCTAAAGGACGCTCCTGTTGCAAGATATCTGAAAATTTTTGTTTGTTGCAGTTAAGAAAGTTTCTGAGAAGTGGAAAAATCTACGTGATTATTTCAGAAAAGAACTGAAGAAAATACCTCTGCCCCGGTCTGGTGATCCAGGCGAAGAGGCTCTTAAAAAGAGCTCCTGGCCTCATTTCAAAAGTTTATTGTTTCTGAGAGACCAGTTTCTGCCGAGATCCAGTCATAGCAACCTGTTGGATCCCGACAATGACACACAAGTTTCGACACCCTCTACGCAGATGGATGAAAATGATGGTGACTATGACGAAGACGAAATGGACGAAACGCAGGGTGTAGAAACGCAGGAAACAGAACCCGACCACACAGAATCAGTCACTCCAATTCAAAGCACACCAAAAGAACCACGAACTATTCTAAAGAATAGGGCCCGAAAACGGTCAAATCAACTTGACGCTTTTCTTGAGATAGAGAAGAAAAAACTACAATATTTAGATGAGAAACGTGTCGCTGCAGACCGTGGCAGAGCCCTACCAGTCACAGATGACGATAAACTGTTTTTTGATAGCCTTTTGCCCCACGTGGTGAAAATTAGGCCTCATCGAAAACTTCAGTTCCGCAATGAAATTCAAAATTTGGTTCAGAAGTATGCCTATGAAGAGTACTCGAACAATCAGTCCACCATCAATGTCAGTCATTCTGTTAATCATAGCCCGACATATACATCTCAACCACAAACATCGTTTGCACATTCATCCCATTTGTTGCAGGGGTTTAATTACGCAGATCAGTAAACATTATAAGTTATTATAAGTTATCGTTCGTTGTGTTCAGAAGACAGAATATTATTTTGCGTTACCGTTTGTTTGTTTATGAATAATAAAAGTATTATCCTTAATACATAATATTCTCTTACCGAATTGTTACCACCAACATTTCTTCGGTTCCTATAGGCGCTTGATTAAAATTTGTCCATTTCTTGTTGATGCAGGGTGTAACTTGTTCTAATATATACTGAAAGGTGGCAAGTTCCATTCGAATGTAGTCAAATAGCCTGTCGGGATAATTTTTCAGTTCTAGAAATAAATGATGGAATTCCCCTAGGCGTTTCCGACTTTTATTTACGTCGTGCACACTACACTGCCGCACTCCAGTCATTAAAAGCACTTGCAGGTAAGTATTATTGAGAAGAATGTCATCGTCACTGTCGGAATACATATTTTTACGTCTATCTTCGACAAAACGCGACGCTCTACTATAACCATAGGTGCCTCTTGCCTCTACGCTCTAGACGCTACCAGATATCTGAATCTGAAACCTCGTCGCTCCACTATGTTCGTACCGTTATGCAGTTTTATCAAATTGTACAGTTCTGGCTTAAGCATGTCGTCCGTAAAAAAGATATTTCTGTGACGAAGCCAGATCATCATTTCTGCTTTGGTTGTTGAGGAAGTTGGGTTTTTTCTGTTTGTGTATTATGATACGGTGCATTGTCTATAACAACCACGCTTTTGGGAGGTAGGTTTGGAACTAACTTTTCTTCCAACCACTTTTTATAATTGTCAAAGTTTATCTTATTATGGTAATCATCTGTACTACACGTAGGTTTTCATCTCACGTACGCATTAGGTATGACTCCATTTTCAATGAATAATCAATCTGTCCCCTTTGGATACCGGGTTTTTATGCCTTCCGTGGAGCCATCTACTCAGATTTTGGAGTTTGTATGGGAAGCGTGTATATATGTCTCGTCAGCATAGATCACGTCCTTCTTGTCTATATTTCTGCATACTCCTCAAGAACATTATACGTAAATGGCGAATTTCTCGTTTTTCCATTAACAGCTCCCTATCCAATGTTTCTCTGCTTCCTCGATATCCTACTAGCTCAATCATCTTCCTGTGTACACATTGCAAGGTAGGCACACATTTTTCGGTTACATGAAAGTTTATTATTGTTCTTCGTAACCATCCACAGCCACCTTACTATTAATATTTCTCCTTTTGTTTGGTGTAGAGAATGAAATTGTGCTGTTCTCTTGAATATTTAACGCTTCGTTTTTAATGCGTTTGATGGTATTCATACTGACACCTGTAGCTGCAGAGACCCGTTCTTGTATCTATAATTTACAATAGTTTTGAATAAAAAAAGACCCATTTTGTACACAGGCTTTGATATGCTATTCAACCAAGATGTTAGGACTCACCGCTGCTCAAATGGGCAAGTAATTCGTGAACAAAATTCTCTGTCATTTATATATATATATATACAGGGTGTCCGCAAAGTTGGGGTTTTCCTTTTCAGAAACAACTACCCTTGAAATAACAAAGGTAATGTGTAGTGAAACGAGGGCGACCAAGTAAAAAAAAAATAAAGGAAAAAGTACTCACTCTCCAGTTGACGAGAAGGGCTAAGTACGTCTCTGCCTGAAATCGAAAGTTATTCACCCCATTACGCGTGAACGTAGATTCGTCTGTCACCAATATGCACTTCAAAAAGTCCGGATTATTGTCACGTTGATGCAACAACCACTCACAAAACCGCACTCTTGCTGGAAAATCGTCAGGTTGAAGGGCTTGTACACGTTGGACGTTTGCCACACTTTAGTTTTTGATACTTGCACTTCTCTAGCCACGTCTCTAGTGCTTGTTGAGGGATTCTCGTCTACGCGATTCAGTAGTTCTTCCTCAACTTGCACCATTCGTGGTTGTCTAGGCCTCCCACTGTGCCCACCTCGAAATTCCTCCAAATGGCCCGTATCCCTGACTCTCTGGACCAGGTACACAAATCTGCGGGGCCTTGGATGATGTCATCTAGGGAAATGATGCATACACTCGCGACGATTCTGTATCATTTTGAAGACATTCGCCATAAATTAACAACATATCAATGAGTTCATTATTGGTGTATGAGTGTGCCATTATTATTCTTTTTTTGAAACGCAATCGATTATACGGGTTCGTTACCTGTATACGCGTGACCCTTTACCGTCGGTTGAAGGTTGCATTCTGACCTGACATACTGACCCCGACCCCCGACCCAGTTCTGTCGTCGGGTTCAGCTAGTAGCCGGTACCAGTCTGGGACATCGCGGCGGGTGGCGGCTACAGGACGGTATTCAGATATTTTTGATGTTGCAGAGCCCTTTACCTCGGTTCCCTTAAGACATTGGTGTATATGGTACTAAGAAAAATTGCTTATGTTTTCAAGATCTACACGTCGTGTAAAGGAAAACCCCAACTTTGCGGACACCCTGTATATATATATATATATATATATATATATCACTTTAACTGCCACGTGAATCAAGTGTGTCTCATAGGTTATAAATTCAGTGAGCCATGTGAATCATCCTTGATTCACGTGAAAACTATTAGGTTTATATCTGTAGCTCAGCGACGATTCACAGCGGCCGCATAATAACATGGTAGTTGAACAACCGTGGCCTCGCAAATAAAATGAGGTAGTTAGCCTACGTAAAAGTTTGTTCATCTTGTTTTTATTTAGGCACTAAGTGCAAATTATTTTAACTTTTATTAATTCAAGACAAACTTTATGCTGGACGCTTTTTATTGAAACAAAAACGAACTAAATACAAGTATATGTTAGGAACGAATTAGCTACATAAAACAACAAGAACAACTATTTTGTACAAACATGAGATTCTGTGAAGCAAGTCACGCAGTAGTGTTTATCGCATTGAATGCACTTCCATCTAGTTTGTGCAGTGGTTTTGGCTGCCACGGTTCTTCCCTTTTCTTTTGATATTTTACAGTAGCAAATGCAACATCTTCGCCTATTAGAAGTGTTGACATCTTCTAAAATATGTTTTATTTGATTTGCTTGCGTATCTTCTTGCTCGTTCTGGTGTTCTTGTGGGAAATTTAGAAGGCATGAAGCAACTTCTTCTCTGAATGTTGTTATAGTCATTTTTTGTCCAGTTACTGCTTTGAACAGGATATATGCATTTACCATGGCCGATCCTAGAATAAATTCCACGGCAATTTTTCTATACCATTTTATCCCTTTTCTCAAAGCTGAGGAATATATAAATCGATAAATGCTTTGCATGTATTATAATCAGCAACAACGTCGGGCTTTTCTACTTCCGCATTACGTCGTGATCTCACTGTAACCATTTGGCAAGTATGTTTAGTAGATAAAGTAAGGACTTCCCTTTTGTCGTGCCATTTTGTTATTTCAACTCCCGTATTACTCTCTTGACTGTATGATTCACCCTTCTTCAGCTTTTTGTGTATAACATCTTTCGGATTATTTTTACGATTTTTTCTTAGGGTACCCACTAAGTGAGTTTTTTCTCGAGTAACTTGTGTGCTAGCTCCATACTGGTGTAGTAGTTATCTACATAAATGCATCGTCCGCAGTTCAAAAGTGGTTCGCAAATGTTCATAACGATGTTCGTTGGTACGCTTGACCCTTGCACTTTTTCCTTGCCACAATAGATTTTCAAATCATAGGTATAGCCTCCATCAAGACATAATTTATACAATTTCACTCCGAACTTGTGCCGTTTATTCTTGATATACTGAATAAAAGCCAGCCTTCCACGGAAAGGGACAAGCGGTTCATCCACGCATATCTGGTCTTTGGGAATGAAGTACTTTTGAAAGTTCGTTCTAAGCTGCTCCAGGAGGGGTCCAAGTTTGTACAATCTATCAGAAGTGTCGGCTGTTTGATTATCTTGAAAATGCCAATTCGCCAACAACAACTCAAATCTGTTGCGCGACATCACGCCTGCAATTTGGTTCACATATATCTTCTTTTTTGACCAATAGTCTGCCAGTTTAGGAGCACGAAACAAGCCCATCCAAATTTGAAGACCAATGAAAGTCATAATTTCGTCAGAATTGGTATCTTTCCACTTATTTATTCGAGATCACTTTAGTTGTGTCGATTATTTTTTCTGTGCAGCGAAACGATTTGTTTCCCTCACAATATTGTTTACGACATTTTCGTCAACCATTAACTTGAAGAAAAAATAGGAGACTTGTCAACGTGTTCAAATAAAGCATTTACAACACCACTTTCGGGAATGTCAATCGGAAAGTCCTTGAGATATTGCCCAGAAACTTCTTGCCACATCAGTGATGGAACCAGTTCCTCATTTTCATCTGAGCTGTCCAGTTGAAATTGATGAATAACCGCTCCTATGGTGTCCAGAATTGAATCATTTTGATTTACTTTGAGAAGACGATGAATCATCAGTTCTGGTAAGAAGCTGTCTACTATCAGAAGATGCTATTGGATGATCCACTGTTTTTTTCTTTTTTACTAATGGCTCGTTACTGCCTTTCGAGCTATATGAAGACGAGGAATGCCAGCTATCAAGTTCATATTCATCTGAGGAAGCCTCAAAAGGATCGGCCTCTTCATCGGAAAACATCTCGTCCATTAGTTTTTGCAGACGTTGCTGCTCTTTCTCATAGCTACCCATTTATCTTAAGAAAAAACATAAAATTAATTGTTGTAAGGAAATGTTAACAAAAAATCTTACCTTGGTTAATAAAAACCGCAAATTCTTTTTACTGTATCGCTAATATAAATAGACTAAATGAAGAATCAACACGTGGTGATCACCGAGAATAGATAGGTTATGTTTTGCATCACGCATGATTCATGTAGCCCTCTGTGCAAATTTGGTTAACCAGGCCACGTGAGACACACTTGATTCACGTTCAAAAACACAATTTTTGACAGCTATTGACGAGTAATAAATATAGTGTCAACATTTTTATGAATTTGAAAGTATAATAAACAATTTTTAGCTTGTGGCCCAGGGGATCAAATTTTTTTTTATATTGTGGCAGTTAACGTGATATATATATATATATATATATATATATTGGTATATGTTATACTCATCATGAAGGCTAAAGATAATTTGAAAACTGTGTGTGACAACGTGCTATATTGTACTTTCATTAATGGTTAAAACTATAGGGGAGAGTGTTGTACCTTGGACCATATTGTACCTCGGACCGCTTCGAATTCCCCTATTTCCTCTTACAGTTTTCTTTCACCCATATCACCGATGAGTTACATACTTTTACACTACAGATGTCGCCCAAAGTAATTTGACAAGAAGGCGGGCTGTTCTAAGTTATACCACGTTTGCATATTATTGAGTGTCAAAGTAAATATTAATCAAATATTAATCTGTGATCACCTGTGTTATTTTGAAGGGTAAGTAAATTGTTTTATGTTATTTTTGTACATCTTTCATTCCTCCTTGCATATGTGTGAATAGTTTTTGTATACATTGATTTTTGTTTGTTTATTTAACCAGAACAATTTTTATTGTAAAAATTGTACCTTGGACCATGTGCAAAAGTTGTACCTTGGACCGGTCCAAGGTACAATACACTTTTGTATCGATAAAATTGCTTGTAAATAAATAGTTCTTTTTTATTTTAAACGTAAACCCATGTTTAATTCTTTTCAGATTGCTCAAAAATGCCTCGAAGTCAAAGTGGAAAAAAGCGTGACAAAGTTGATTCGGAACAATTGACAAGAGTTGTACAAGAATGCGTGAATGAAGGTATTGCCCTTCGGGAAGCAGTGTTAATGCACCCTGCTCAACCAATCACGATATATGACGTAGCGGAACTAATTGGTAAAGCATTCCCGCAGGCCTTTACGCCGTTAAATATTCAAAAGGGATTCAAAGTAGCAGGTCTTTACCCTTTTGACGAAAACATTTTCCAAGACCACGAGTTCTTAGCCAGTTATGTAACAGACCGTCCGTTAATTGAGAAATCTAATTCCAGTAGTGATGCATTACCATCCGCAAGTGCGGATGGATTACCATCTACAAGTTCAGATACATTCTTAGTTTCCTGTACTTCATCGGAACAAGATCAGTCAGACATCACCCCTGAGACGTTGCGCCCATTCCCTAAAGCACCTATGCGAAAGAGAACTGGTGGTCGTCCAAAAGGCAAGTCGCGTATTCTTACGGATACACCAGAAAAAGAGGAATTAGAACGAAAACGCGATTTGAAGACTATTAAAAATGTTACCAAAAATTTATCAAAGAAAGATCAGAAAGTTAAAGTCACGGTGAAAAAAAGAGCACTTGATTCCTCCGAAAGTGAGTCAATTCCTTCATTATCTTCTGGAGAGCATGAAACTTGGGATGACATTATCTCTGAAGATAGAGAATGACTAGAAATTGGTACTTTGCAACAGTTAAATGAAGACTATCAATTTCATAGAGGTGATTTTGTACTGGAAAAAAACAATAAAATACTATGTTGGTGAGATCATAAGCATAGGCGATGAAAATGAACTTAGGTACCTGCGGCGAGTTAACAACACCGATAAATTTGTGAATGATTCTGCAGAGACATACAACTTTTGTCCTACCGACTTAGTTTGTAAGCTACCGCAACCGAAAACCCTAAAAGGGACTGCTCGACATAGCTCACTATTATATTTTGAAGTTAATTTTGACAATTATAATGTTAGTTAAAGCCTAAAGTATTTTTAGAATGATTGTGTGTAGAATATTAAAATAAGTTTTATTTCTCTCATTACTTTCCTTTTTTGGACCAAGGTACAATCGTTTGTGGGCCAAGGTACATGACGAGTTTGTACCTTGGACCGGTTTGTATTACTCACTAAATAGTGTGCTTGTGAGTTTTTAGTTTAATATTCCATGTCCGAATATAAAATAAATTAATAAGTTAATGCCACAGCCTCCTTATTTCTGCAAAATCAGTTCAGAAAACTTAAAACCAAAAAAAATACAGCACGATTTACAAAAATGGGTCCAAGGTACAACACCTTCCCCTACGCAAAATTTCGTTAACGAACATAGGCATTTTAGACAAAGTCTTCTCAATGTAATTTATTTTTCATTATTGCTTGAATTTTCGAATCTGCATAATAATAATAATAATAATAATAATAATAATAATAATAATCATAGTAATAATAATCATAGTAATAATCGCAATAGTAATCGTAATTATATTTACTCTGCATGAATCTCAATACCGAGGCAACAATTTCTCGGCTTTGACCACTTTACTTGCAAGTTTACTCTCCATTTTTCAGAACAGAGTATAAAATAAAACAAGCTATAGAATGCTACCTCGATCACTGCTGGTTTGTACTGGTGTGTCCCCACTACATTCCGCCGTGTCTACCGCGCATCTGACCTTGGGAGACCAAGCTTGGTCTGTCAAACTGTACGATGCTCAACGTTCCAAACCATCTTGTCAACTGAAACGGCACTTCTCTCACTATTAAACACGCCCTTCCCCACCGACACGGGACCAGACCACTCGATGTAGTACCCATTCGAAAAACATGCGTTCTTTCTGACGGCCCCTGTAGAATACCCTGCATATTGTTCAATTTTTGAATTCCAGTTTAATCATATCAGCAAATTTTCCCGAAATAATTGTAAAGACTGGTTTTATTGGTGCAAGTTGTTCAAGGTCAAGGGGGTATTTAAAATGGGTATAGCAATTTTTTGTGGGAAAACTTTTCATTTGACAACAAACACTGAGAAGACGTGTTCTTTGGGATTCAATCGAGAGTGTTGAAAGAAACGAAAACACCTTGTATATAAGTTTTTTATGTTTTTATGTCCTTAGGAGACCTACAAAATGAGACCATACGTAAAGAGATGCGACTAAAAATGTTATGGCCAAAAAACGAGTCAAAATGCAGGTTTTAGCACTTGTTGCTAATGCGACGATTATTTCATGCAACTGCTTGAAATTCTTCATATCCGTAGAATTCATACTTCTAAATAACAACAACAAAATTGGAGAGATAGAATATTGGTTTGAGAATTTCTGATTGTTTAACTCAAAACACCTGATCTCCGGCCATCACTACAAGTTTATTGAGCAATATCCAGGGTTCGTTCAAAGAGCATTTAATAGCAAAATACACGTGTTTACCGATATGAATCACAAACCATTCCGAAAGATAAATGTTATATTATGCGAAAAACAAAGGTTACGTTTTTTTCTTCTAAACAAATTCAATCATTCCGAATCATCTTTTGTTGCGATTTACTCACAAATACGAAATGCTTGGAATTTGTTTAGAAGAAAAAAGGTCACACATCCTTTTTGCATAAAAATAACATTTATCTTCCGGAATGGTTTGCGATTCATACCGGCAACGTAAACCAGTGTATTTTGTTATAAATTGCCCTTTTAACTAACCCTGTATATTGCTCAATAAACTAGTAGTGATGGCCGGAAAACAGGTTTTGGGATAAACAATTAGAAATTCTCAAAAACTACTTGACCGATCTACACCAATTTTGTTGCAGTTATTTAGTAATTTGAGGAATTTCAAATATCTGAGAGAAACCATCGTCGCATTACCAACAAGTGCCAAAACCTGCAGTTTGCCTCGGTTTTCGGCCATAACTTTTATGCTATCAGTTGGATCTTTTTACGTGAGGTCTCATTTTGTAGGTCTCATAAATACCTAGAGATCTTATATGAATATTATTTTCGTTCCTGCACTTTCGATTGAATCCCAATAAACAGATTTTCTCATTCTTTGTTGTCGAATAAAAAGTTTTCCCACAAAAATGGTGTACCTACCCATTTCATGCGTCCATGTTTTGAATACTTCCTTGAACAACTTACAGTAATAAAACCAGACTTTACACTTATTCCGCAGACCAGGGGTATTTTCGTCTAATATGATTGACTTACATCTAATGTGTATCATAAGCCTAACCGTTTTTGAGATATTAAAAGAAGCCCGCAGTTTTCTAATGAAAAATTGCTTTTGGTTAAATTAACTGAAATTCTGTACATAGTTCTCAACATGGCAATCAAAAGTCTCAATGGCGCCAACCTCCAGAAGCCCCTACCCAATCCCTAAGGAACTAAAAAATCCTCCAAGCAGCGAAATGGTTAAGTATGGATTTGACCTTGAAGAGTGGTTTCGGGGCCTTCCGATCAGTCAAAGCAACACCCGTTACCGCTCAGTCAAAATAAGTCACAAATAACTGTCAAATAGGATGTTATACATAAAAAATGACTTCAAGGTCACGGTCAAGGTCATATCCATATTCCCTATTGGCCAGTCTGGAATAAATCTTGACAGTACATTTTACTTCTTTCCTGTCAACAATACAAGTTTTAGTAATATCCTACTTCTATAAATAGTCTGGAATAAATCTTGACAGTACTTTTTACTTCTTTCCTGTCAACAATACAAGTTTTAGTAATATCCTACTTCTATAAATACACCCTAATTGGGGGCTCCTGGGTTCTATAGGAGGACGAGAATGGGGGACCTGACCAAATTCTCCAAATGCTGCATTTCTGAGATGTTCAAGGACTACTGAAAGTACATTTATCGCTTTGTCCATTATCTTTATGAAAATTAGGATGCATCACTTATAAAAATTTACTTGAGCTTGATCATAACATTCAAGACCACTGTCAAGGTCAAATCCATGATCACAATTAGCCTCTCTGGAAGAAATCCTAACAAGACTATGTTTTACTTCTCTTCTGATAATACACAGAGTGTTAAGTTAGTAGTGGCTCAACGGAAGTCAGGTGATAGAGGGCCTCAAAACCTATCGAATGAACCCCTATATGTGTATGATCCGAAATTTTATAGTTCAGGAGATAAAAACCACAGCCCTAAACCTAATGGTTTAGTTGTAACTGCGATTGAAAGTTCATTATCCCGTTTTTTTTCGAAATTTCACAAATTTGCAAATATCTCCTGAACTAACATTTCGGACCACACATATAGCGGTTCATTCGATATGTTTTAAGGCCCTCTATCACCTGACTTCCGTTGATCCTCAACGAACTTTACACCTTGTATACCTCAATGTTTTGACGTTGGTATAATTATACACCTTCAGTCGTGGTAGCTCTACGCAGGAAGTGTAGAGTCAGCCTACTTGATGCCATTTTTTAATGATCGATCGCTGCAGTTCTACGTTTAGCAAGTAAAGGAAATAGAAAGATTCCAAAGTAATTTGCGATGTAGCTACTATTCAAATATATCAGTTGATATCTGCTCGTAGCTATGAAAATGTATACTTAAGTCTTGAACATATTAAAAAAAGAATGCCAGAATCAAGACGATTATGAACTTTGTATTAATCATTTCTACTAGACAAAATTGCTATATCCTGTTGTCACGTGATACTTTGATCAAATATCGCTTAACATAAAGATTAAAACGGTACCGCTTACACAGAACGACATTATCCATGATTTATAGTATTTACACCTCCTACAATTATTAATGTTATTCTCCATGATAGCATATAGATACGCCCAACCCACTTGTTACCTTAGGATCCCACATACTATGAGATATCAAATATCCATCACAATGTTGCAAAATTGATATAACGGAACATATAACTTTGTTGGTGACGAATAATGATTTGCAAAAAATAATCGTTGCCGAAGGTATACCGACATAGAAAAAAGAATACCCCACAGTGAACATGATGACGCCAAATTTACGTCATTATACGGTTACCTTTGGTCGGAAACGTCATTGACAAAAAAATGACGTCTTTATTGACGTACTTTAAAAGGCTGTCATTTTGACGTCTTTTTAAGACAGTCTTTACTTAAAAGTCAACACTTACCTGCAAAAAAATACAGACTTTTAATGAACAGTAACGTAAACTAGATATCCAAGAACTAATAACTACTGTATCGTTATTTATAAAGCAGTATCAGGAATTCTTCGTCCAGGAATATCTTGTGTATGTATGCAAAAAACCATAAAATGTCAAAAAAGTATAGTCTATCTATGGAGGAATGACTCAAGTACACCACAACACGAATTGTTGGTTGCATATGTTTTGTGAAGCCGTGTAGTATATAGTTTTTATCGCCGAGAAGAAAGTTGGTTGAATACCAAGATCGGATCTGGATGATTGTGTGTATTGGTCTGCATGAGAATACTCGTAAAATCAGTGATATTTGCTGTGTGTGAAAATCATTACTGAATATGCTGCCAAGGAAGTATATCTATTAGCGGTGCCCGACGGTTTATTTATATGTTGTCGTTTCTGAAGATAGGTTATGTTCAACATTATAAAATACGATTTTTTACGTTTTTTGTGTTTTCAAAAACTGAGGTGAATTGTAGGAAATCACCACCGCACACGCGGTGTGTATAATTACTGTTAGCATGTA